AGGCCCGAAACCAAAAATACCTTGTACTTAATTCTGCTTAATAGTCATTTTTTTCACCTATAGTTGGAGGTGCAGGGAATATTGTTATACAATCAGTGAAAACAGAAACAATCATAATGTTTCATTTTATTTTCAACACATCAGTCTTAACAAAAAAAAATACAGAAACTGTTTTGCAAAATGTTATTCAACTGATACAAAAAGCAACAGGTGCTTTCAATGCTTTTCAGTTCATTTTACTTGTTCAGTGAGAAATATCCAGTCTATCATCTTGGGCTTGAATGTCTGAGGTGGTGATCATCAGTGACAGGGAATCTGCTTCTGGATTTGTTGAATTTCACCACTGGGACTGTCTGTTCACATTTTTAGGTAGATCCAAAGAAGACTGATCCAAGAGCTGCTTTGAAGGTTTTACTCTTTTTTTTTTTTTTTTGGTGGACTGGGGAGAAGTCACCCGAGGGCCACATTTGGCCCACAGACCGCCAATTGTCGACCCCTGATGTAAAGTCTACATTTAGCTGCATTTTCAATGGCTACTCTTGATGTGGACCCGTTATACTGGGAAGTGGGAATTTCCCACTTTACAAGTCTTAAATTTAAAGTGGAACACCACTCCAGTGAGAACTCCATGTATGAAAGTGGGCGGGTTCAGAATTCAAGACATCGTTCTGCTGGATGCTGGTTTAATAATCTAAATCTAGGGTGCCAAACTCCAGTCCTTGAGGGCCGCATGTTTTAGAGGTTTTCCAGCTCAAACACACCTGATTCAATGATTGAATTAACTCTTCAAATTGGGCAAAAGCCTGTTAATCACCCAGCAATCGAAATGAGGTGTGTTGGAACAGGAAAACCTCTAAACAATGCAGGAYAGCGGCCCTCGAAGACTGGAGTTTGACACCCAGTTGTAATGGTTTTATTGGTTTTTATGGTTTTCATTGGCAACATGATGGATCAGTAGAACTGATGCCTCACAGCAAAAATGTTCTGGGTTCAATACCTGGTTTGATCCTCCCATAGTTTTAAAACAAGGATGTCAGGTTTCTTTCAGGCCTCCTAACAAAAAAGATTAGTGATCTTAGTAAGATTTAGCTGGTTAAACTAAAGTTAATTAAAAAGTAAAAGAGTAACTTACCCAAAATTATTTTTTAGCTGATAAACTGTCTAGAATGTGTCTAAAATGTTATATAGTACTGTTTCTGTGCTAATTTTGATGTTT